CCGAATGAAAAATAGGAGCAAGCCTCTTAGAAGGGTAAAGCCCTAGGGATAGAATTCAAAGACTCCTGCCCCCAAAGGAAAAACAGGATCAAGTCTCCTAGAATGATAAGTCCCTAGAGACAGAGTTCAAAGACTCCTGCCTCCGAATGAAAAGAAGGAATAAACTTCCACAAAGGGTGAGACCCCGCAGGTGCGTACAATCCTTAGCAATGATGAAACTGAACCAATCAGGCGGGCCAGCCAAATTGCTCCCCAGGTGTCGGAGCTATCAAGGTCTTTCAAACAAAAAAAAAGAGAGAAAATGCACGTAATGAAATGCAAGTACTCATAAAAAGTAAGCTTCACTTCAAAAGAGGGGCTTTGCATCCTCGAGAGCTACAAGAGAGAAAAGTACAGTTCAAAGAAAGAAAAAAGTTTTCATTTGACCCGGGCATCTCCAACTCATTGCTACAAGGCGAATCAACGCAAAAGGGTTGAGTAGCTTCGAGAGCAGGTAGAGCTAGGATTAAATCAGCAGTAGGAAGAGTCTGAGGAATATTGTGGTCGGGGGCTAAGTCCGACAGAACCTCGTTGGATGGAACCAATCACCACCTCGGGCGGGTCTGCCAAAATTTACGTCGGCGTTGGAGTTGCACTCTCGACAGCAATCTCAGCCTCGGCCTGCGTCATCTTTGTTGATGGCACGTAACGGTGCATCTGGAAGAATGAGGAGTCTAGAAGAACACCAACAGCCCAGAGCGCCTCATCCCACCCCTTCTTGAATAACTCCTTGTTGTTCTCCTCGAGGGCAGGCAGCACGTCGTCGGCAAACTCCTCTCGGACTTCCTGTTCTCTGCCTCAGCCCTGATCCTGTCCAGCTATTGGGTTAGAGCCAGACAGTTCTCCTCTGACCCTACTGCCCTCTCCTCTATCATAGAGAGCAGCTGCGTCTGCTGCGTGATCCTTTTCTCAGCGTCGGCCAAGGCAGTACTTAGCTTTTCAGCGCCGATCTTCGCCAATTCGCTATCCTTGAGGAGTTGCTCAATCTGAGCAGCCTGTCCCGCGAGGGTGGAGTCCCTGGCAGCTACATCCTCCTTAGCACTGGCCAGGGCTCCCTCAGCTTCTTCCTTATGTTCTTGGATCGGCTGAAGGTCCATCTTAGCTGTATGATATCGTGCAACAATTATGAAAATCTGTTGGGTGGCCTATGAAGGAAAGAACTTGTCAATTAAAAGTAACACGACAAGAAAAGATTGAAGCAAAGATGAACTTACCACTACGGAATTCTGAATGATGGAACGGAATAACGTGTTCGTTGTCCGCCCCCTATGAGCCTCCATGTCAGCCTCGAAATGGAGCGTCTCGCTCACTGCGTTGGCGACATGGGGGTCCTGCAGAATGAAATCATCGACCCTGATCACCCGGTTTATATGATCAGTGGCCTGAGGATTCCACTCTGCAGCTTCTACCGTCTGCGGAGAGGGAGTTGGAGTCCGCCTCTGCTGCTGTTGCCGCTGTTGCTTTTGTTACTGCCTTTGCTGCGGCTGTTGTTGTTGGGGTGAAGGGGGTAACCCACGACCTCTCCCATTTGGCTGTTGAGCGGAGGGGGCCCTAGATCCCTTGCCCGGGCCGTTGTGTCTTTGCTTGGTCCTTCTCTCCTCCTCGACTTAAGGATCTCGATCCTGCACTTGACCCTGACCAGTGGGCCTCGGAGGCGGGGGTTGGTGCTGGTACTTGTTGATGAGGTGTTACTGGTTGACCCCCGTCCTCTCCCGGCGGCAAGGGCCTGCCTCTGCCTCAAGAATCCCAGGTCGATGTGAGGCATGTGCGACATGGCTACCTTGAAGGCGTCCTCTGCGTCTAGGGACTGAAGGATGTGGAAGTCAGACCACGAATCTCTCCCTAAAGTCCCCACCTCAGCGTGCGAAGGAACCAAAGCCTCTCTGGCCCCGAACTCCTCAACTTCAAGGACACCCTTTACTTCCGCCTCGGTAGCCCCGTCGGGGTCTTCCTCCAAGTTCTCTTCGGCCTCTTGTTACGTAGCTTGATCGAAGAGTTCAGACCACCGCGAAGGCTCGAAAGGCTGGGGGAGCTATAAGAACTTTTTATACCCAAGAGTGTAGTTCAAGAGGATGTGAGTAGCCCCGCCGAACCCGTCGTCGCCAACAAATCTCCAAACAGTGACAAGGTCAGCAAAGTTTACCAAAGACCGAGGAGGAGGGGCAACTTCCCGGGCAGGGACGTCTGCACAAGAAAGAATGTTATTAACACTTCTAAAAAATCCTAAGAACAAAAATAGTAGACTCGGAGAAGCCAACCTACTTGTCGTTCTCCATTCAAAAGGGCACATCAGGCCACTGTACTCAGGACCGGTCCCCTGCTGCCAGTATCCATTGAAGATCAGAAGGCCATCCTTGTATCTTTTGTTCGAGTCAGGGAGGTGAGTTACAAGGTATATGGAGGGATCCCTAGCTTTGAGGTAGAAATTCTGCTGAGGCATGACTCTCAACAGGGAGTAGCAAAAAAGGATATCGTTGAGCCCAACGTTTACCCCGAGACAGTTGTTAAGCTCTAAGACCCCCATTATTATCCTAAATACGTTAAGGCAACACTGCCCTAGGAAGAGTTTGAAATGGGCAAGGAACTGGAGGAGTATAGGAGGTAGGGGGAATCTAATTCCACCCTTTATGATTGCCTTGGTGAAAAATGACATCTCATTCTCGGCCCCCGATAGTACGGTTATGCAAAACTGGGTCGTACTCATCTATACCTACGTTTGGAGGAATGTGGTATCGAGCCCTAAACCTATTAATCTACTTCTCTCCCTTCACTTTGTACTTCCCTGGCCTCGAGGAACTGGCCTGAGGATCCTCGGTGATAGGCCAACGTTGGGGCATCTCCAAAGAAGATAAAAACTAAAGAGGAAGGACAATTTTTTTTTTTTTAACTAAGATCCCCTAGGGGTTTCCTGAAGGTTGGTCACACAATGACAACCAGGAACACCTCCGGTTATCGGGGAATAAAAAAATAAACTTAGAAAGACGAAAAGAAGGGAGATACAAGGACTCACCAGAACGCGAACGAAGGTTTCTAGAGGGATCGGAGTTGTTCCTCTCTCCAGAAGGTTTAGAAGCAAGAGGGTGTTTGTTGGACTAAACTCCGGTGATGACTGACTGGTAGACGACGTGACTAAAGGGGGTCTCCGATGAAGTTTTTAGGCGAAAGCTCTCTGAGTTCGAAATAGCAAAAGTGTGGGGAAGAGAGAGAGAGAGTCCGTTTATATAGTACTCATCCCCATCATTGGGCACGAAGCACGAAGAGATGCATTTAATGCGCGCGACCTCCTAAGCAGGGGAAAGCGACTAGAGGCAATGATGAAGTGATTGAGGTAGTTGTAAAACCCTTCGTCTCCTTACAACGAGTATTTTCGGCGTCAGAAGATCGAAGGCTGGGGGCAGTTGATGAGATATTTTATGGATACTCCAAGATAGCGACACGTATACTCGGTGTCAAATAAATACTCTCTGTTGTAATCATGACACGTGCTCGTCGGATCATGATCCCTCTTCCCCCGAGGAGGGTACTATGCATAAAGATCTACGATGCCGGTATGTACGGGGCGACACGTATTTATCGGTCGAATTTGGGGGGTACATCGGCCCCTAACCGTACTAGGCCCTCGGCATCGAGGTGTACCCACTACATCGGTGTTCTGTTCCTGCAGGGTTATTGATAGACAGGTCATCAGCCTGGGCTAGGCTAGATTAGCCATCATGACCTGGTCTTACCTAGATGGTGTCAGGACGTACAGGAAAACAGAAGACTCAACCAAAGGGGAGCTGACACGTGGCGTACTGTGTCAGATCAGAGTCAAAAAGACCAGAATGCCCCTTGCTGACACACGACTTGGAAAAGTAAGTATTTAATGCACTTTTTCCTTGATGAGACATCATTTAATGTGTGAAGACTCGAAAGTGAAAGACAATGAATGTTCCTGCGACTGAGCATTTAATATATCCCTGCCGAGTGAAGGTCATTAAACGCTCAACAGACCGAGGGTGATGCATTGGATTGCTCGGGGTCCCGAGCAGTTAAGGAAGAGGTCATTTCTCCTAAAAACTAGTGTGCACGTTACCCACTTCTAATGATCACCTACTGACCGTACTGACAGCAATCATGAGTTTTTTTAGGTATAAATACTCCTCATAAAACGCATGACGAGATATGCAAAAACCTTTTTTCAAATTTATACACAGTATTTTCTTCTTTCCCTCTTTCAAAGAACTGACTTGATCGTCGGAGGGGATACGTCGAAAAACACTGTGGCGTCCTCCTAACTCATTTTTTCTCTGTTCCAGGAATCTCTCTTAGCTTTACAGGACCACCCTAGTAACCCGTGTTCATCACGAAAGAGATCTATTCTCGTATTTATATTATACAAAATCCTGCACGCAATTAAAATGAATTGAGCGATTGCATTACATAAGTAAACTCGTCGGTATCCGCTTGTGAGACAAAAAGCCCACCTAAAAACCAACTTGAACTATGCGAAAAGAGGGTTAGGTGAGGGAGTCTAGTGGGTATGGCCCACTGCCATGGTCTCTCTCCTAATCACTATGTCCACATCAAAAAAAAAAAAAAAAAAGAGAGAGGGAGTGTGAGAGAGAAAAGAGTAAATTTTAAGTGACGTGCAAATTTAATAAAAAATTATATCAAAAAAAAAAGATAAATAATATTTATTAAGAATGTATAATATTTTATTGGAAAATATTATACTAAACTTTGGTGATGTGCACATGTACTAAATTTTGAAAAAATTGAATATTTATTTGTGACAAAATTAATTCATGAAATTCAATTAATAATCTAACATAAATGTAAATGTAATCATAATAATTTATGATCAGGTGATGCCATTATCGATTAAGCCAAGGGTAGTTGGGTCACTTCACATCGGAAGGTGGCATGGTTGGTTTGGTTGTATCGCCCTCCTATCTATCTGAACGCCCCTATCAAGCGAGAGAGAGCACAACACAACGGTGTGTAGGTAGGTGAAAATAGAGTTCAGAGAGAGAACGAACGAACGACCGACCGAACAAAGAGAGCTAACAATGGATTCAGATTTTGGGATAGCGAGAGAATTGTCCGATCTCCAAAAGCTTCGATCTCAGTACCAACCAGAGCTCCCCCCTTGTCTTCAGGTCTCTCTACTATGTTTCCTTCTCGTTTCCCTTGGAATTGCGATTTGCTCTGTTTCATTCTGTTGCTCTCCCCCCTCCCTCCCAACCCTTGTATACTGTTAATCCGCTGTTCTGTATAGTGGCATTGACGTTATCTTGTTCGTTTAAGCCGCTTCAGCCCCAATCTTCGCCTTTCGCTCATCTATGTATTTGTTTTCGTCAAGCAGCCTTCGAGATTGATTTATTAAAAGACTTTTGTTCTTCAATGCTTTCCTAGTTGATTGAGTGTTGTACTAATCCATCCATGAGCTAGCTAGCATGCAGAAATTAGATCTGACGTGTTACATCGCTTGTTTTATGCCGTACTGTCTCAGATTTCCTTATTGTTTATTTGGATTTTGTTTTGCGGACCAGATCAGATCAAGTTCAGAGCAAAGCGATATAGCATGTCTATATATCCTTGTATTTGCCGTTCGGATGTTCTGACTGGATATAGTGTAAGGAATTATGCATAAGAAACGTCCGTTTGCTACATTCTGCTTAACCACCAAAATTTGAACCCAGCTTATAAGACTTGGTTTACCACTCGTCTTGTGAGTTCTTAGCGTACATTTCGGCCAATGATTTTGATGACGTCATCTGAAATACTAAAGTAAAACAGAGTGAAGATTTGGATCAAATGAACTTCCATGATTCTATGGGTTGAAATCATCAATGCTGCTTGTTATGTACTTTACTGTCTCTGACGTGTAATTGTCACAGAAGAAATAAAACTTTAGCACATTGTGGCACTCTCTCAATTCTAAATCTTAGACATGTATGTATTGTATGAGGATCAAGAAGAATTGCTAGCAAATTAAGACAGAGCAAAAATGAAAATGATGATTTTGTGTTTGCAAGAATCACAAATACATTATTTGAGATGCTATATTCATACTCAAATGTCTGGATTTTACACTCTTGTTGGTCTATGAGAACAAACAGAAATAACGCCTTGTGTGGTTTTGGGGTAAATTTTCAGACAGATGATATACATATTCTGTATTGCTCCTCATTTTCTTTGTACATTAGTCAATACCATTTTGAACATATTATCATTGTTACTGAGATGGCCATGCATAGTCGATTTATCCTCATACATTTGTAGTTCATAGCATTTGTTCCATGCTTCATTTTTTAAAGAGAATAGCATGATGATGGTCTTCTTGGTTAATAATTCCCATCTAAGTAGGGTTATTGATTCTTTATTCTTTATCTCCATGTCATTGCTTATTAACCTAGCTTGTACTTGTGTATTGTTATTTTGCAGGGGACTACTGTCCGTGTAGAATTTGGTGATGCAACCACTGCTGCAGACTCCTTTGGTGCCCACACCATAAGCCGGTCTTTTCCACACACTTACGGTCAGCCTTTAGCACACTTTCTTAGGGCAACTGCCAAAGTCCCTGATGCCCAGATAATTACTGAGCATCCAGCAATTAGGTATGTACTGGATAATGACTTTGCTTCGTTTACTTTACTCAGAAAACAAGCACTGCAACATCAAAATTGAAACCAAAACTGTTCTCTCCCATGAAGTTTATATTATACTGTCAATTTAGCTGGTTTGTCCTCAGTTTTATTGCACTGACATTCTTTACTCTCCTTTTGGCATTATGATCCACTTTAAGGGCCAGACATATTGAGAAATTGTTGCATTACAGATGCAGTTGTCTCTATAGCTTGCAATATCGCTACCTCTAGGCTCGTTGTACTTGTGTAACTCATCTTGGGGATGGATTTCTTCGTAATCGCAATATTTTTGTTATACATCCAAGTATGCTGATTTTTTAGTTTCTTCTTTCTAGGGTTGGTGTGGTTTTTTGTGGTAGACAATCTCCCGGAGGACATAATGTCATATGGGGTCTTCACAATGCTCTCAAGATTCACAACCCTAACAGTTCTTTGCTTGGATTTTTGGGTTAGTGGCATTTTTGTTTTCCTCTTCTGGCTTGAAGTTTTTTGTTTACCATGGACCTCTACATTGGTCTATGTGCCCACAACTAGGGCTGTCAAAATTCGACACGACACGAATTAAACGGGTTTGGGTGAGATCTTAACGGGTTTGGATGATAAACGGATTGACACGCCAAACACGTTTAATAAACGGGTCATGTTCAGGTGAGACCTGCCAAACCATTTATCACACGTTTATCCGTTTAAATAAAATTAATATAATAATAAATTAATAATTATGTTAAAAAATTAGCAAGAAAAAAGAAGTAAAGAAATTAATAAAAAAAAAAGAAAGTAAAGTAGTAGTTCAAAGACATAGGAGAAGAGTTGGATACACTTCAAAGGCAAAGACAAACAAATGTCTTTTATTTTTTTCCCACATTGGAAAATGAGGGGAGATGGGAGGGTTGAGTTGCTTATAAAAGACAATGACCTCTTGCTTTTATTTTTAAAGCCTTTAAGTTTTATTTTTCAAAGACAAATGAGAGGAGTTGTAGAGCATTTTAAAAATAAAGACAAACTAATATCTTTTGTTTTTGTCTCACATTGAAAAATGAGGGGAGATGGGGAGGGTGAGTTGCCTATAAAAGGCAATAGCCTCTTTCTTTTTTCTTTAAAGCCTTCAAGCCTTATTTTTATGAGATTTGATTTCAAATTCCTCTTTTTTGAAGTAAATGCAATTATTAGTAAAAAAAAAAAAAATATTAAAATTTGTTGATATAATTTTTTTAAAATTAAACGGGTTAAACGAGTCATGTCCTGTGACCCGTTTATTAAACGGGTCGTGTTGAAATTTTTTACCCGTTTATTAAATGTGTCGTGTATAGGTTTATACGTATTTCACCTGTCACCCGTTTAACCCGACGCGTAATCGTTTAACGTGACACGATTGACACCCCTACACACACCCATATCTAGAAAAAAAAGTCATTGTTGCACATTCTTATTTGGTTTTGTTTCCTTATCACCTAGCCAATGATTAGGATGCTGTCTTGTTACATTTCAGTAAATCACACTTTCTTCTTGCATTTTGCGTCACAAGCACATTATGCCCAACCTTAGTTTGATGATATCTAAAAGAAGTCTTTTATGCTTGCTACCAGGTGGTTCTGAAGGCTTATTTGCACAAAAGACCCTTGAGATCACTGATGACATTCTTGCAACCTACAAAAATCAAGGTAGTTATGACTTACTAGTACTTAATTTTCAGATCGCGATTTTTATTTTCAGGAAAGTTTATTTTATGCTATAATCCTGTCAAGGTGGTTATGATTTGCTGGGAAGAACAAAAGATCAAATAAGAACAACTGAGCAAGTCAATGCTGCGCTCAACACATGCAGAGATTTGAAGTTGGATGGCCTTGTCATTGTCGGAGGTATCTCTGATCCTCTGCTTTAGGGTCACCATAGACATCCAACATATAGAATTAATTTTTTCTTAACGTAAATATTTTGTACCTTTTAAAGGGGTGACATCAAACACAGACGCTGCTCAGCTTGCTGAAACTTTTGCAGAAGCAAAATGGCCAACTAAGGTACCCAGTTCATGTGACATTTTTCATACTTATACTTACTGAAAGAGAAAAAGACATTTTCATACTTCCTCTGTCCCAAAATTTAAGTCCCTTGTTGGAAATCCAACTTGTTAAGGAGACAACTGTTGATGCATCTCATTTAATAAGTTTTCAAAACTGCCCTTCAGAAGTTAATGTTTCAGGAAGTTTAGAAATTTATCAAGTTGACTTGTCAAAGTGACTATTACGTCGGGTTATTTGGAAATATATAGGAAGACATGGTCTAGATTTTCGACGATTTATATATAAATTTGAAGTTTCTCACAAGTTGTTTATTTTGGTCCTCAGTACTTTTGGTTTTGGACATAAAGCTATCATGACACCTCTGTAATGTCAGGCCAGTGTAGTTTCTTTCTGAACTAAGAACAGGAGAACCTGATTGGTTGAAATTTTGCAGGTGGTTGGGATTCCTGTTACTTTGAATGGAGATCTGAAAAACCAATTTGTTGAAACAAATGTGGGTTTTGATACCATATGTAAGGTACTAGTCCAGTGATGTCAACAGCTTATTGAATGCCTTGCATGTATTTTTTTCAGTTAAGAATCGAATTTTGTAGTGAAGCAAGTACTGTGTTTTGAAGTTATTATCCTCGAACCACATTTTGATGATTCACCATTAAATTGGGCTTATACCCTGCTTCACATTGTTATGCATACTTCAACTTGTCTCTCTGCCTCTTCTCCGTATTACTGACAAGGTGATGCTGGCGAAAAATCCATGCATTGGAACTGTGTTTGTTCTTGGTTTGGGGTTCATTATCAGACGAAATTATAGTTTTGTCGTCATCATATTCTTTCTTGTTTTAGACTTCCTGTCCCATTTTATCTCCAATGTTAAATATAATTTGCTGGATTATGTGCCGCTGCTTTAATAAAGGATGGTATTTTCATATAAAACGCGACTAAAAAGCAAAGGATGGTATTTTCATATAAAACGCAACTAAAAAATTCCGAAATTGTAAGATGTTATTCTGAGATTATATGCATTTGAAAGATTTTGAGAAGAATCTGATAACATTATTTTATTGGCTCTTATTAGGTTAATTCTCAGCTCATCAGCAATGTCTGCACAGATGCTCTTTCAGCAGAGAAGGTAATTTCCCCATTTTTTAAAAATTTATATCCTCCTGGGTAAGCCATGTCATTTGCATTTTACTTTAGGTTCTTTGAATTGCTTTTAGCCAAAGATGGAGTGACAAGGCTGGCCTTAATCACCCTGCATACTTCAAGCAATTCTGTTACGCATTTGGCAGCCCAGCTGCCTTTGTTTTGCATACCTTTCCCATGCTTTTTTTTTCCCGTATGTTTTTTTTTTTTACAAAATCTTAGTAATTTACTTTTTGTCTTCAGTATTATTATTTTGTCCGACTCATGGGACGAAAGGCATCACATGTTGCTTTGGAATGCACTCTCCAGTCACATCCAAACATGGTTTGCAGTCCTTGCTTATGTAACTCTGATTGATGTTGCTGTAGAGGATGCCGTCTTTTAGATAAGCTTGATTCTCTTCTTGCATAACCTCTCATTTGTTCTTTATAGGTCATTCTTGGTGAGGAGGTGGCTGCATCAAAGCTTACTCTTTTTGACCTGACAAAACAGATTTGTGATGCAGTACAAGCCCGGGCGGAACAAGGTATGGAATCTGTGCCTTACTATCTTTGTTGTCTTTGTGGTGATTAATGATTAGCAGTACTTTTCATCTGACCAAATGTTTTTGGACAGATAAGTACCACGGAGTCATCCTGCTACCCGAGGGGCTTATAGAAAGCATTCCTGAAGTCTATGCTCTCTTGCAGGTAAGACCACGCATTTAGGAAATAACTGCATTCCTAGTTGGCTGTTGACAAAACACCCCCTTCTCCCTAAAAAAAAAAAGAATAGAAAAAAGGAAAAGCCTCCCTTTTGCAGCAAAAATGGGAGCTCCCTATTTTTAATTTCAGAAATGTGTGATTGTTTAATCCGGTTTAATATGTTGGAATAATGACTTGTATTTTCCAGGAAATTCATGGTCTGCTGAGGCAAGGTGTTTCTGTTGATGGCATTTCTACGCAATTGTCACCTTGGGCATCAGCTTTGTTTGAATTTTTGCCTCCCTTCATTAGAAAACAGGTCTATTTCTTCACATTGACATAAGTTTTTCATGTAGTTTTCATGGGCAATGGTGCTCCTCTGAAATGCCTTCAATGTTACAGCTGCTTCTCCATCCAGAATCAGATGACTCTGCTCAGCTATCCCAGGTACTGAAATCTGCAACCCTAATGGTGTGTTAAAATAAACTATGAATTTGCTGTATATAATAATTATTACTCTTTTATTTCGTTTTGCAGATTGAGACGGAGAAACTCCTCGCGCATCTCGTGGAAGCAGAAATGAACAAGCGATTGGTAGGGTTTTTGCCATCTTGTTTTTATTAATGTTAGCCAACCTAGTTTTTTTTTTGTTATAGCTAATTGAAAAATACAAAGGAAATTAATCATTGTTGGTTCCATTTAATCTACTATTTTTTCCGTTATGTGGGTTTAGGTCTTGTTTATTTCAGCGAGTATGCTGTACTGTGTACATATTAGAATAGAACTACTTTTACCTCACTCTCCTATGTTCGTGGTGATTCCACAGAAAGAAGGAACATACAAGGGTAAAAAATTTAATGCTATCTGCCACTTCTTTGGCTATCAAGCTCGGGGGTCTTTACCTTCAAAGTTTGATTGTGACTACGCATACGTAAGTTTATGCTTCGGTTCATTCTCTGGACTGCTTCTACTTCTTTCCTCTTGTTCATGTTAAGTAGGTTTCCTTGTAATAAACTAATAATAACAATATTCCTGCAGGTTCTTGGGCACATTTGCTACCATATTCTGGCAGCTGGGCTGAATGGTTATATGGCTACTGTAACTAACCTGAAAAATCCTTTGAACAAGTGGCGTTGTGGTGCTGCTCCAATAACTGTGGGTTTTATGCTCCCTTTAGACTTTTATGGCCAAACCTTACACTTCAAGTACTTCTGTAGAGATCTGGTTTTGCTATTGTCTTCTTTACTCCCCTTCCCTCACCCATCCCCTTTTGTGTCGTTTTTCTTTTTCTTTTTGAATGCCAGCTCACTGTCTCTCCTTTTCTGTCTGTCGGTAGAGCTTATACTGGCAAGAAAGTTTGACTCCTTTGATTGTATTGTTAAACCTCAGGCAATGATGACTGTGAAGCGTTATGGTCGTGGTCCTGGGGCCTTACCAATTGGGAAACCTGCCGTGCATCCTGCGACCGTCGATTTGACAGGCAAAGCATATGAGTAAGTCCCTCCATTGTTATTTCCTGTATACTTGTTTGACATAAGTTTCTTTGTAATATTTACCAGAGGCTTGCTTGACATCACAGCAGCAGAAAGAATTCAAAATTTTTAGTGTTTTTTTTTTTTTCCTTTTTTCACTAAAGAGATTTTTTGATCCTCTGAGAAGGGAGTTCATTTACTTTTGGCAACTTGTGGACTTGCTTCGAAATTAAGTTGAAGAATGCATTGCAGATATATGATCCTGTCCTGCTGCTGAATTGTTTCTTGGTCTTGGTACAGGTTACTGAGACAAAATGCAACCAAATTTTTGATGGATGATGTTTACAGAAACCCAGGGCCCCTTCAGTTTGATGGTACAGGTGCTGATGCCAAGGCTGTAACTCTGTGTGTTGAAGACCAGGATTACATGGGTCGTATCAAGGCACTGCAGGAATATCTCAACAAGGTGCTGAAATTAGCCATATTAAATGACTAGTCATAACCCATGCCTAAAGGCATGATGAAACATAAAATTTGAACGTCAAAAAATATCTATCTCACTATTTTAAATAATAATTTTTATTTCTTTCATTTATTTGATTACATCATTTAAAATCTATGTTTATCCATTATTTTCTTAAAAATATCGACAATTTTTTTTCAAAATACGTAATCCAAAAAAAATTCTCAACATATGTATACTATCGTGTATGGATAATATTTAAAATAAAAATTATATTAAACTATAAATTAATCAAATATTAAAATAATTGGGCATATGATAGAAATTGGTGATGTGATGTTTTTAAGAGGGAAAATATGTAGAAGATAAAATTCAACTTGTGAGCTATCTTATTATATAGATTTTTTTTTTCCTTTTAAACAAATTTTATGAGTTATTGTGATTCTGCGTTGCAAGTACTACTGCATTTTGCGTCTTCCATTGAGAGTGATATCTCCATTTTTCATTGTTAAATGTGGTATATGCTCCATTTTTGTGTAAGAAATAAGATATGCCGATTTCAAGCCCAGTGAACTTGGACCATGTTTGAAGTGGACTGAGTTATACCAACAATTTGAAGGAGAAATACACTAGTGTTGCTCTAAGCAATAGTAATTCAGTTTTAACAAACGTTCAAGTTCATTCTCCAGACAAGAACTGGGCAGATATTTCCTGGCATTATTACGTCATGCATTTCAGCATTGTATGGGAGACATCATCCTTTGTCATCGTTGTTTGCATGAATTTGTCTTTTGCTTGTTCGAATTCTGTTAAACTCAAATTGACTATATTTTCTTCTGATATTAGTAGTTGTAGTTTGTGTGTAAATGTTTCTGATACCAGTCAAAACTTGAGCGAGAGAAAGAGCTCAGTGATAGATTTTCTTCATACTCCGTTCATTGGGTGGGCCACAGATCTATGCTAGAAAGAGGGGGGGGGGGGGGGGGGGTTGAATTAGATAAGCCTTGGGTTTCATTCTGCCAATCTGAGATATGGAAAATGAAGAACCGCAGTTTAAGATGTCTCAGTTGCGAAGGATGGACTTCTGTAGTTTGAGGGTCTCACTCATCTGATGTAGTTGTTCTAGATCAAGTTACCAAAGTGTAAGTAGGGGGAGGTCCAGTTAGCCTGAGTTGCATCAGTAGATTTCATGGTAAATATGTTAGCCAACTTGAGAACTTTATAGTTCCATGAGGAAGTCATACCTTTTTCCAAGGTTGTTGACTGTAGTGTGCTAGTTGTATAACCTTAACATGATTAGTTTACTCTTGTTATTGATTGTTTTTCGTGTTGTTTCCTATTTTATGCTCTTTATCTGTCTTTGCCTTGTGTTAATTTCATATTCTCTACTTTTGTTTATTCATTTTCCAGGTGCGGATGATTGTGAAACCAGGATGCTCACAGGATGTTCTGAAAGCAGCTTTGAGCGCCATGACTGCTGTGACTGATATTCTCTTGACCATGACCTCACCTTCAAACGGTGGGAACACACCTTATTAGAAGTAGAAATAAACTGCTCATCTTAAGTGGAAATTTTCTGTTGGCACTGCCTGAAGTATTGGAATTCCGAATGTCTTCTGTTCCTTTTTTATTTCCGTAATTTATGTCCAGATCTTTTTAGGTGCAGACCATATCTGTGAACATTGAGCTTAGTTTTTTTTTTTTTCCAATGCGAAATAAATGTGAAAGTTCGGTTTTGAGGTTTATGAGAACACGAGATTTGATCGGATTGTTTTTGGCATCTATAGAGGTCATTTCCTAGTGCATTGGTTTCTGTTGAGGCTAACAATTTGTTGGTTTGAATGTATTCAATCCAGCTGTACTAGCACTCTCGATTGGAAACTAACATTATGATTGTTGTGGAATTACTATGTGCATATGGCTCGACTTTGGTAGCATTAGAAGTATAGGACCTAAATTGATATTTGGTTGTGTGTACACGATGAGTTAGTTATATACAAAAACAAGGTTGAAGGCAGGTAATTGGGGGTAATGGGACCCATCGATGTACGTGCAGTGTAGACAGCCTTTGTTGAGGATTTATTTTTGTTTGTTTCAGTTTTGTGTAAGACAGAAAAAGCTTACAAAGCACATGTTGTGGTGCTTGCATATCATGGACAAGGCCACATAAATCCAATTGTCCAATTTTCTAAACGTCTGGCCTCGAAAGGAATCAAAGTCACAGTAACTACCAAACTCTCTACTACCAAGACCATGCAAGCAACAGCGGGCTCAATTATATTCAAGCGCCTGTAATTCCGAATATGCCATCAATGGGTCCTTCCTACTCCAATGTTCCTGAACATACTGAGTCAGTTCACTAACATTGAGAAAGCAGATTGGGTCCTTTTCAACTCCTTTGATAAGTTGGAAGAAGAGGTGAGTTAGATGCTTCATTGCTCTCTACTGCAATAAAAGAGTATTTATGAAGAGATCAATCCTGCTTCCCTTTTGCTGTCATTCCATTCCTTCTCTGCTGGCTAAGATGAGCTTACAGCTTCTGTTGTCGATTGACTGAGTTATGAGGCTAACAATTTTCAAATTGATGTCCGTTGAAAATAGACGAATTGAATTGAATTGAAATAAGGAAAGTTTGAGGTACCAATTTTTTTTTTTTGGGTACTGAAGTGAAGTCTTTGAAATAAAGATTAGATTTACTAACAGATATATATTAATTAATCCTGTTTTGAATCAATAGATATTCACCTACAATTTATCCAGAAGTTGTATGGAATAAAGAAGTAATATCCAAGTTGGACTCTAACTACTTCAAACTCCAATTCCTACTCAAATTAGTAATCGATACAAACAAGTACTATTATAAATCCTTGTTAGAAAATATTGGTCTTTTTATCACTTCATTATTATTACCAATCCCTAGAAAATCTATCTCTCACTCCCATGTACTTTTATCCTTATAAATAGTGTGCTTGAGGTTCAACAACAAAGAAACAGAAGTACACTGCAATGGAAAATAATGGTAACATAGAAGATTCTAACGACGTTTATTTTAACTCATTGCCACCTGGTTATCGTTTTTGTCCAACTGATGAAGAGTTGATCAACGTTTACTTGAAGAAGAAGGTCTTGAACGAAACCTTACCTCGAAACCAGATTCGAGACTTCTATTTCTATGACTACAGTCCCCAGATACTCTCGAGTTAATCTTTCTAACCTTCTTCTTCTCTCTCTCTCTTACATGTTGAGGTTCACTTATTCAAGTTGAAAAGCTTCCAAACAATGTGATTAATTTTTTTTTTTGGGCAAAGCAACAATATGAAAATTCATGTTCAATGCTAATTGTTATTTATTTATTTTTTTTCTAGAATGTGAATAATCTTGTTTTTACTGGCTTAATTATGAAACATGTTGTTCATACCTTGTGCATGAGTTTGCGTGGAACTACTGGTGGATTGGTATGTGATAAATTATTTCATTATAGATTGGTCTTTTGAAAAATTAGATTTGTTCAATTTCATTGAGCTTGTTACTTTTTCTTTTTTGGCATAAAACAATACTTAAACACGTGATATTGGGTTTGAATATTGTTGTTCATATATTTTTTTATTTTTCATAATCAGACACCTATTAAATTGAATAAATATTTATCTTGCCATTAAATTAGTTATTAGACTTTGAATGGATTAGTAACATTATTGGCTGAAAAAGATATCTTAACAACACAAAATTCAAATATTCAATTAGTACATTCACATCTCGAAAAGGATAAAAAATAATTTTTAAATTACAATTAAATATTTAATTTAACTATAATATTATCTGAATTTTCTATGTGCTCGGATTTTATATGGATAATAATGTTTTGGCTTTGAATTAATGACAGAAATATTCAAATTACATAGAGAAACCGTGTGGTATTTTTTTTCCTCGAGGATAAAGAAATACCCGAATGGTACTCGACCAAACCGATCAGTACAAAAAGAGGGATTTTGGAAGCCGATGGGAGCTGATGTCCCCATCTATAGCAATGGTGAAGAAATTGGATGCAAGAAATCTCTAGTGTTCTTCAAGGGAAGCACCGGCAAGGGAAAGGGAAAGGGAAAAGGAAAGGAAAAGGCAGAGGAAAAGGAAGTTGAACCTCCAATCAAGACTAACTGGCTGATGCATGAATATAGATATGGCAAACGGGCTGATCAACGTCTAAGTACGAATCCTAATGACAAAGAGGTAAGCACTCATTTTTTTTAGCCAAAATTTTCATATTAGTGGGCATAGATCCTCAAGGTCACGTGAGATATGACTAAACGTCATGAATTAGTTGTGTCGTATCGAATTAGTGTTACGATAAAATTTATTTATTTTTTGTCTAATTCATACCTAAGCGAATTTTTGGGTCATTTTGTGTTGAGTTTATGTCGTATATACGCCGTGTTTAGGATTTCGACCTCCTCATGTACATTTTTCATCAACTTCCTACAGTAAATCATTTTCCATGAAATAAAGTAGGAACTAGTTATCCTATATGGGAACCAATTGTTGTATTTTACACCATTGCATGCATATTATAAAAAATAACCAATTATTTTTTATTTTTTATTTTTTTTGTTTAATAGTCAGAGATGTCCGGATCAGTTTATATGCACATCTACTAATCCTTTCTTCGGTCCGGTCAAAGATAAATCATCCACGCCGGGACTAGGGTATTCATGAAAGATAAATTCTTCATGACATGATCTTAAGGAATTGTCAAAATTCAAACTCATGACGTCTAATTTTATAACTTGTTCCTATTACTACTTGAGCTATCTTATTACCAATAATTTAGCAGTAACTAACTTTTTTTTTTTTTTTTTTGAACTTGTAGTTGGATAAGTGGGTTTTGTGCAAAATGTACGAGAAAACAACAGGTAAAGTCAATGGAGAACAACAACACGAGGATAATGGGGGTGTTATAATTGATAATGATGGGATACTTCTACTTCCCAACACAAATGCACAGCCAGTTCTTGTTCAGGACCCTCAGCTTCCTCCTCTTCCACCAACAACTTTCATCACTATGTCCAGTGCAATGCTTACTTATCCAAGGTATGTATATGGCTATGGTGTTCCCACCGATGGCGTGACTTTACCCATCGGACTCAACGTCGGTTCTCCTGTATTGCTTGATGACATATCGGATTATCTTGTGCCATTCGATTTATTGGCTAGAGACGATGATGACATGATGTCAAGGTTACCATCTGATACCACACATCCAGAATTGTCTTCCGATGATAAAAAGAGTTGTCCTTCCTAATTTTTCTTTCTTAGTACCAAAAAATATTCTTAACTACACGTTTTTTGGACTCAAATATCAATTTTTTTTTAATTTTTTTTTGTGTTATATACTTTTAGATTTATTAGTACTCAACAATATTGTTTGATCAATTTTTCTTACCAATTGACATGTCGCAGCTAGACATTTTTTTTTTTTTTTGCTCGTCGCAGCTTAGACCTATTAGATATTAATGAGATCTACTAATCCATGGTTTACCTCGGTTTATGTGAAAAAAGTTGATAAGCAAATATAGGAAGCAAGAGTAGCATTAATCTTTTATTATTCAGAAAACAAATAATTTGTCACAAATAAAAAACTTTCATTAATATTAAACCATATGTTTGGATTATAAAAGTTTATATTCATTTAATTGCCTTTTTTAAGCCCGTTTGAAATCTTGTTAATTAGTACTTTTAATGTACAAACATATCAGTGTAGTAGGTATCCTCACCAAAGATCAAAATATTGTTTCGAAATGGTTGAGATATCTGAAACGTTTCTGTTTTCAAGGAGACCAAAACGAATCAGTAATAAAATCGAAATTCTAATATTTCGAAGTGTTCCATAATATTTCAAAAAATTTTGTTATATTTCAATACATTTGCACAATTATTTCAGAATATTTCAAGATATTTTAGTATATTTCGACAAATATTTTAAAAAAATAATTTTAAATTTTTTTTTTCATTATGTTTTCAAAATGGGTCGAAACGTTTCCAAAAATGTTGAAACTTTTTTGTTTCTTAAATGACTGAAACAATGCACCGAAATAAAATCTTGATTCTCACTACAAGAAAAATATTTTATTGCAATGACTTTCTGTGACGAATAAGAAAAATGATCGCCAAAAACTAACATTCTACAACCAACATTAGAGCTCGTCACCAAAAATTATTAAAAAAAAAAATTGGCAACAAAGTCTATACTTGTTGCTGAATGTGGTTGCAAAAAAATTCTCGCCATTGACCAATTTTGGCGTTAATTGTTATTTACTTTTTGGTGACGAACTTGGTGATCATAAATTAAATAATATTTCAATTAATGATTTATTTCACAAATGTGTTATCTGATGACAATATTAGTTCATCGTCCAAAAATAATTTTTTGTAGCGACAATAATTTTTTTGTCACTGATAAAATTTTTAATTTTTAATTTTTAATTTATTTTTTTTAAAATAATTTAGCGATAATTTAACCAAAAAAAATATAGAGCCCGCCATCCCCTTCTCCCCTTTTCCCTCCCTTTTTTTTTCCAACCGTCATTAGTCTTCCATTAGATTTACGTGCATTCCAAAACGGTACTCTCTCTTTCTCTTTATATATATATACACATGTATAATAAATTAAACATTCTCTTTGTTATCTTCTTCCTAGTCCTCGTTCTCCGAAGTAAGAATTTACAA